CGACCAAGGACACCCAGGTCCTCCTGGGGCAAGGTGGCAGCAAGCGGGCTGCAGGTCACCGGCGGCGGAAGAGAGAAGAGGCAGGAGGAAAGAAAAAGGATCGGGGGTCGTCAGCGGCCAGGGTCAGATGCCGGCGTGGGGGGAACGGAGCCGGGCGGTTCCCCGCCGCCATTTTCTCCCTCATTCAAATCCTCTTTGCCCCCCCAACATGGCAGCTTCTCCTCGACAGCGGCTCCTCCTCCCGCCCCAGGCCGGCTCCACAGCGGGGCATCCCTCCCGCAGGGCACAGCGGGCACTCGAGGAAAAGGGGAAGCCTCGCCTGGCCGCACGGCCGCCCAGCGCGCCTCCCCCGCGCCGGCCGGGAGGCGGCCGAGACCCCGGCAGCCGGCGACGGGGGCGGGGAACGGAGAACATGGCGGCGGCCGCGAGGGGGGACCCCAACACTCACGTCCGAGTCCGCGCGCGGCTCCTCCACACCACGAGAGGAACGGAAGTGACGCACGGCGGAATCCCCACCCTTCTCCTGCACCACGTGGGAGAGGGCGGGAGAGAGGTGTTTAAAGGGGACGCGTCCCTTTGTTACTCGTTCCTGCCCCCACCCCCGGCGGCAGAGAACGCCTCCGGCGCTCCCGGTCCCCGCAGCCTCCCGCGAACCAAGCAGCGGGGGGGGGGGTGGGGGGGAGAGGAAACGCGCCCTCCGAAGGGGAACCTGTGGGGCTGACGGCAGGGCCCTGCCTGGAGCCGGGAGCCGTCGGGGCTGTGGTGCCGCTGAGGGGAGGCGCTGTCGGGGCCGCGCCTTCACCAGCCGCCTGCCTGCGGGAGGACGGCCCTTAACACTTCAAAAGAGCCCTTAAAAAAAAAAGAAAGAAACCTGTAAACGGCTGGTTTTTTTCGCAGGCTGCAGCGCTTCCTCGATCTCGCTGGGAGCCGCCCGGCCGCCAGCCGTGCCCGCGGAAGCGGCCTGAGGCGGTGGCGGCGCGGTGGCTTTGCATACCGAAACCGCAGCCCCGGCTGGCACCTGAGGCGCTGTCCAGGAAAGCGCCGGTTCCCCTTTCGCTCACCGGGTGACTTGGGTTTCCTTCTCTTCCCCCCTGCCCGCCTCAGGGCTTCGCGGCGGGGGGGAGCGCCGGGGCTCCCGCCACGGCGGGGGGAGGGCGGGGCCGGGGGGCGGGGGGCCGAGGGGGAAAACAGCCTCGGCTCCTGTTTTAAACACCTGCTTTTTACAAGCCCTCCGAGCAAAACGAAACAAAAACAACCCCCCCAAAAAAAAACCCAACCTGAAAATGTAATTTGACAGTCGTGCCTATCTCTGTAGCGTGTTTACGCCAGAACACGCCGCATCCGAAGGGCCGTGCTGGTGCCTGTGTCAGGACTTGAAGAGGGGCTGCAGGCTTAGTTCACCTAAACAAGCACCCAACAGCTTCCGCGGTAAACCGAAATGACACCTCTTTGGAGGGGTGGTGGGGAGAGGGTCTTCGGCCCCCGGCTTTGTGAAGGGAGAAGACTGTTAACAGCCCTTGCAAACTGCAGTAGGCCAAGGACGCTGTCGGAGCACGAGGGGTTTCGTGTTGTGCCTGCCTGTGCTACCTGTTTCAGCCCGTACTTTCTTTTGGTTCATGATGCGATCTGTTAACATTAAAAAAGCGTTGTCGTCAACACAACTTCACACAAAAGTAACATAGCCTGTTATTGTTTGCTTATTACTGTTTGCACTGATGGCTGATGTAGTTGGGTTGTAAGCGTGGCAGCATGCCAGTAAATGTAGACTAAACATTACCAGTTTAGTTTGGTCCTTTTCTCATTGTTACTACCTCTGGAGCTGTGCTTTTGCTACCATGGCAATGCAAGCTTTTCGTAAAAAGTGCAAGCAAACCATTAGAAATAGGAAGTGGACTCTAGTCCCAATCCTAGCTTCCAGATAAAGCTGTTGTTGATAGAGGTAGAGTGGGGTGGTGGTTGATCGGCCTCTGTAGTTTCAAGAGCAAACACCTATTAATGAAGTGTTTGAAATCAAAAGTCTTGGGCCTTTTTAAATTCCAAAGATCCCCGTTCATTAACATGGGCCAGAAGGATAGACATAATTTTTCGAGAGGGGATAATCCCCCAAAATCACCATAAGCAGCTGCAAGTCCTAAGCAGTGTTCCTGAAAAAATACTTAACGGGTGGTAGGCGAAGAGGTTTTTAGAAGGGATACATGAGGTCTTTAAATCTCTCACCATGAATTGAGGTAAACTTGCTCCCACTTTGCTTTTTCACTTTAGTAGCAGGAAAACAGGAAGTTAATACCAGAAATTAGAAGGGCACTCTTTTAACTGATTCTTGGAAATTGGCAGTTTCATGCTGTTATGTATCTTGCAAAACAAAAAGAAAAATAGAAAAACATACAGTTCTTACTGCATGCCAGACCTTTGGAAAATAAAATTATGGTTGTTTATACAGAATCAAAGCACAGTAAATCAAATGCATGCAAATACAGTAATTATCACCACTGCGCAAGTATCAGGCTTGTCAAGCCATGTAACTGTGGAAGATGAACAGATGATCTTTTAATACTTAATGCTCAACTCCAACAAAAGAAAAAGAAAAAAAAGAAAAAGAAAATACCTATTCCACACAAGATGGTGTCCACATGTAGAATATGAATTTGAAAAAAGATAGCCATTCTTTTCAAGGCTTTACTAACTTTTCATATTAGAATAGTAATGGCAGTTCAGGTCTCTGTAATCCGTATCTGCTTTGCTTTCTTACAGGTCAACACCTGGTACACAGAGAATGCTAAGGTTTTAGAAGCATCACACTCAAATCAACAATTCTTTATGCATTTTGATCCAGTCCTTCAGCCTTGAAATAAATCAAAATGACTAAAAGAGATTTTTCTGCTGGATCTTAATGAGTTAATTTGTCCCACCTGCAGCATTTCCTCCAAAGCAAGCACCAAGTTTATTTTTACAGCTCAATTCCCAAATAACAGGTCAGTGAGGGGAAGTGAGTGTTTGCTATAACTGGGGATTTCATGTTCTGTTTTTCAGTAATGATAGGTTTATTCGAGAATTATTCTGGTTGTTGAGTATATTGACTGTTTGAGCTTTTTGGTAAATTACCTTTACTGTATTTTACTCTATTTAGAAAGAAGATACTAAGAAAAAATGCTGGCTTTAGAAAAGTGGGAAACGAGCCTTAATTCTTCTAAGGTAAATTTCTTCTGTTACCTTCTGAGTGAGTCATCTTTCCCCCCAAGGGGTATAGTTCACTTTCTGAGCTCTTAAAATAGATTTTTGTAATGGGTTTATTCCCTCATCAGACTCTTTCCTTCTGTAGCTGCCTTTAAAGGGCTTGAATTCTTCTACTTACTGCCTCATTTCATATCACATATGTCTTTGGCTGAGAAGAATGTTGAAGCATTAGCTTTTTCTTCAAAGAGAAATTTTAGCATGCAGATTTGAACAGGAATGCTGCAAAATACAAGCTTATGCTTCTGATCACGTAGCAATTACTAACTGCAATGGTTGACTTCTATAGTTAGAAACAGTAGAGATGGTAGGAAACACCTTTTGGGGCAAACAGAATGAGGGACAGCTCTTTAAAGTTTTAGTACTCAGTACTTACCAGTTTAAATGTGGATGAAGAAATTGGCTGAGGAAGGGAAGGTTAGCATAGAACATGGACACTGATTTTATTAAAGTGTCAGGAAAGAAAGAGTAAGGGATACTGCTGGGCAGTATTTTTGCGTGTGTACTGTAACTGGTTCGTTTCTTGTGTGTGTAATTTGAGTTTGCATTAGCACTTGCATGATTTTGTATTATGCTTGGGTTTGGGTGGTGGTGGTGTTTTTATGTTGCAATTTTGTATTCTAAACACTGATAACTTCCATTTGTGGTTTAATAAATTACTTTATTAACACTTCTGTTATGGTCACTGCTCAATGTCTAAACCCTGTTGTTAAAAGGTGACACTTTCTTGCTTTAATCACTTAAAACCTTGGTGAAAACATAGGGTCTTTGTCTCCACTGCTTAAAAAATGCAATTTCACTTTAAAATAAGAAGGTTGATAAGCTGATGAATGTCTTGTCTCTGTAGCTATCTGAAATAATTTCCAGGTGAGAAGACAGCATTGGACTCCTTATACTGATTTTAAATCTTTCCCTATCTAGGGCTTTTACAAGGAGAGCACTAAGTCTTAAATTACCTTTTCAGGAAATAAAAGTGCAGCTTTTGTTAACAGGGTCTGTAATTTACTGTGTAGGAAAGCTTTCATCTTTGGCTACATCTGCCCTGCCCTCTGGTGGTCACACAAAGGCCAGCTGAGTGTCTGGTTTTGCATAAACTGGAAGGTTGCTGCTAAGAAATCTCGCCCCCATCTGCTGCCAAAAAAAAAAAAAAAGTTTGTTTGCTCACTTTTAGTGGTTTACAGAGAAGGTACAAAAGATTTACAGTTTTCCCCATTGTGTTTCAACTACAGTTTTGCAGTCCCGTGGTAGCAGCAAAGACATCCATCTTGGACATTGCATTACATTAAATAGTAGAATTGATGACACTACATGTTATATGGTTCTTTCTTCTTCTTACCATATTTTGGAGATCTTTTTTCATATAGTTGAAATGAAGGCCAATGGTTTGTTTTTCTGAATGCTAGCTTGCTGGTTTTGTCTGTGATATTTTTAGATGCATTGAACTCTGCACAAATAGAGTAGCTGTGCTATTTAATTCCAATTAAACTTTTGTGTTCCAGTGTATGTTTTCATTCTGGAAATTCTTGGCTGTTCTTCTGTAATCTTAATAGGAACAGAGATAGAGAAGTTTTGTCTTCCTATTTAAAAACAATCTTTTGAATGTTTCACTAAAGCTTTTGTGCCTTTCTCCCTCTGCCATGCGATTTGTACTTTATCACTCCATTTATTTTCCTCCCAGTTAAGGCTACAGAAATTGGTAAAGTTCAAAATGCCCTAAAGGATCTAATCTGAATTTATTACTGTTTCATTTTGAAGCATATCTGATACACGTCTTACAGAGATGCAATCTTGTTTTATAACCCACTGAGGTTTTTTAAGTGTAGACTATGAATCTGATCCTGCGAGCTAGTAGTAACATAAATAGATGTTATGTAATGGTTCATAAAGTCACCAGGAACCATCGGGTTCTTATTAGGGAACTGCTGAGGGAAAGGCGTGTATAATACCACTGGGGTTTTTTTCCAAGAAAATAGGAAACCTTCTTGATTTTTTTTTTTTTTCCACACTTAGTAAGTGTGAGTTCTCATAATGTGTGTTTTAATCTTTTTAAAGTGATATATGCACTGAAGAGTCAATATGCAAAATTCACCCAGGAAAGTAATCTGAAACTTCTGCTGAAATTGCAGCTGAACCAGGCTGCCAAACGGGAGCTTATGCTCAGACATATGCAGAGCTGAAATCACAAGATATAGGGTGGAATATTTGAATTGGAACTACTAGAAATTACTTGGATGAAAGAAGTTATGAAA